AGTTAACTAGGTTACTCCTATCCACCCTCCTCAGGTGATTTTTCCTTCAACAAATACTTAATCCACTATAACTAAACTGATTACAGATGCACGGGCTACCTGCCGGTGACTAACAATTAACCAATGATCAACAACCATTGACCCCTTAAGAAATCTGACCTACCCGGTCTTTCTTAATAGTATTTTACAATGACCTGCAACCATTATCATCTTGAGTCTTCTGACCAACACTAGTCACTCAAGGAACAACAAAATGATATATTCAATGATCTCCACAAGATATAATGATCATTGACCCTATCAGAAACTTGATCAACTTGATATTTCTATGAGTGATTTCTCACAATGACCCCCATCCAGTGATCTCTTAAGAATTATGACCTTCCCGGTCCTCTAAGAGATATATCGATCATTGACCCCATAAAGTTTCTGACCAAACTGGTCCCTTAGAATATGATTTCATATACGATGACCGCAACCAACGTCTTCTCAAGTCTTTTGATATTCACTCGATCACTTGAGGAACCAACCAATTCTAAACAAAATTCTTTTTTTGGAGATTACATGAGTGCTTATCAAGCAGATTACTCATAGTTTAAGTACATATTGTTTTACATAATTCTTAAAAACAACTCTTGTGTACAAACAATTTACATGAAGATGTTAAGAAATAACATAATATGAACAACAATTCTTGTGTTTTACATATTTCTACAAAGATGAATATAATCTAAGTTAAGTGCAACATCTTGTAGTCTTCTTGCCTTCATCTTCTTTGTTGAGCAAGCTATGAGCAACAACTCCTTGCTTCTTCATAATGATACCAAGATGTATTTGGTAAGAATTTGAGTAGCATCTTATAGAATTCTTCATCTTTATCTTCTTTCTTTCTTGAGCAAAATATGAGCAACAACTCATTGCTTCTTCCTTTCTCTCTTTAACGTTGTAAGATATTTTCTATTGAGAGTAACAACGTTATATGGACTTCGACATTGTCGTCTTTGTCAATTTGAATTTGAAGCTTTAGTCTTCTTATATAGCCTTCGGATAAAAGAGTCGTTGTAAGAATAAAGAAGTATTTTCTCCTTTCAACGGTTGATTTCCAACAAATATATTCAAGAGAAGTTTGGAACAATACGAAACGTCACTTTCCTATACTTGCTGCTTGCAGTAGTTAGCGTAATATGTGGGAGACAACTTCTTTGAATAGTACAACCAATATCATGATAGTCGAATCTGTGATGTACTGTATTCTTCTTGACTAAGTTTCTTGATCTTTATCTTCTGATGATATACTTTTGACTCTTAAGTATTTAAGCTTGGAAAAGATCAATCATTTGTCTCCGTTCTTCTGATGAATGATTGATGAGTAGTTCAGAAACTACTTTGTTGTTGTAGCGCGGGAACACCAGAGTGGTCAGAACCAAATCTTGTCTTCAGAATTATGGGCAACAACCTATCTGAAACACAAAGCTTTTCTTCTGATCTAGAACTACTTTTGAAAGCATACTTGTTTTATGATCTGAGAGATAAAGATTGTGTTGAGAAGATTTTTCTTTTAACATACTTTCAATAGTGGATTCTTGTCTTAAGAATGATTTACAACAGTCTATTTGAGAAACAAATTTGTGGTTGTTCGTGAAAGTTTTTCGGATGAAGATATCAAAAGCTTTTCTGACCACCGTAAAATAGTAAACAGTAAAATTAATCCCCTTAAATTAATTAATTCTAATGTCAAATACAAATTTTAAAAAACAAATATTTACTATTAAAAAATAATGAAAAATTCTTCAAACCAACATCAAATGTGAAGCATGAAGATGAAATTATTTTGAGTAGATGTGTGTTTGCTTTGTTCGAGACTGGATAATGTATATTTTAATGATCTTGCTAATGAGTATTTGAATGACAATTTTAAAGAATTAAAAAAAGTTAATTATTTTTGTGTTTAATCCATTAAATATAGTAAAAAATTATATATATTTTTTTTACTATTTTACACTCATGAGTTAGAGTTTTTTGACATGAGTTGCGTAAAATGTTAGAAGTTCAAAATTTGCAAAAACGTATTCACATTGTTGTGTATTGTCCAACGTATTTCACCTTATAAGTTTATTTTTGTAGAGTATAACTAAAGTGCAACAGCAAATATATGATCCAACATTTCACATCCTTCTTTTTCAATTTTTGTCCTCATCAGTTTATTCTTTTTAAACTTCATTTTTGGGGATCATCAAATGATGAAAAATGTCTTCCTCCATGCGTGTGCCAAACTAAAGAAATTCGGTAATAATGTGAGTGAAACTTTTTCCTACATGCAAATCATAAAAAGATTATGATGATTATTTCTTTAATATAAAGTATTGGTCCATAATGATGTTTAATAAAACACTGAGCGTGTACACGTATGCAAGGGAAAGAAAATGTGTTGCTAGATTCTTTAGAAACCGTGCAATTAAATTTGTTATGATGATGTTGTAGCCAGTGCATCATTTGGTTTTGAGACAAAAGGGGACAAAAAAGATAAAGTAAAAACACTTCAACATGGTTTTTCTACCCCTACATGCTTTACCCCGTTAACAAAATAAATTTGTTTTAAAATTAATTTAATATATTTTGAAGAATTGAGCATATACCACTTTCGAGTCCATGTTTGAATTCTCTTTTGGAAGAGAAACTTTATTCTAAGGCACTCACCTCTAACGGTATAGAATCATTTTATAAAAATTTGAAAATATCTCTCTTAATTTCAAAAGTATAATTTTTTGCACATTTATTTTATACCATTTTTTTCAAAAACAAGTTTAAAAGTGTATTTCTATACAAATTTCTATAAATGATTTTATTAATTTCATAACTTTGTGAAACACCAAAACACGTTCTAAGTTAGACACACACTTATTTCTTTTTTCAAAACTAATCTAAAAGTATACCTTCAAACAGAGCAATTATTCCTTAATCACAAATTCAAATATAAATGATTTGGGCATACACTCATTAAGCCATATATCAATTAATTATTTTAAGAATATATACTGTTTAATGATTTTTCAATTTCTTATTTTTTTGTTTCATGTGAGTGTGTCTAACATTGTGTCCAAATATTGTGTGCTCATATAAGACTATCTCCTTCAAACAAACTCCTATAATGATTTGTTAATTTAACAATTCTTTGACAAATACGGAAGTGCAGTTTCAGATTTGTCAAGCATGAATTCTTGAAAAAATACCACCTTACATGTTTAGTTAACTCATGATCAAAACATCATTTCTTCTTCAAACCTTACAAAAAAACTCCTTCCACACTCAATAAACTTTTCTACTTTAAGACAACGTTTCTCTGTTTTTCACATAACCACTGAGAACTCTTTCTCAATGAGGTGACTCACACTCATCAGATTGCTTTTAATTCCAGAAATATATCAAACATCTTTGATCAGAATTTTTTTTCCATTCTTCACTGACTCTGACATTTTCCATACCTTCTGCATTAAGATACTTATCATCAGCACATCTGATCTTTGTTCTCCTTCTGGAATTAAAGTCTATCAGCCATTGTTTGTTCCCAGTCAAGTGGTTTGAACAGCCAGTGTCCATATACCACCAATCTTCTGAACACTTTCCATCAGAATCAGAAGCCATCAGTAGCACATGTTCATCATCAGAATCTCTGCTGGCTATATTTGCTTCTTCTGATTTCCTTCCTCTGTTTCTACAATCTCTGGCAATATGGCCAAATTGTTTACAACAGTAACATTGAACCTTCTTTTTGTCATACCTTTCCTTTCCCTTCTGATATTTCTTTTCATCAGAAGTTGAGGTTTTTGACTTCTGGAATTTATCACCACGTCTATTATGCTTCTGGTCCTTCTTGACAAAAGAAACCTTCAGAGCTTGCTCCACTTCCCTCTCAGAAGTTCTTTCAGTCAGACGCAACTCCTGCGCTTCTAGACTGCTTTGTAACTCTTCTATTCTCATGGTTTCCAAATTTTTAGAATATTCAATAGAAACAACAATGTAATCAAACTGAGTAAGTGACCTCAGAACCTTCTCTATGATTACTTGTTCAAAAAGTATTTCTCCACAAGCTTTCATCTCATTAGTGATCAGAATCATTCTGGAGATGTACTCAGAAACTTTCTTATTGTTCTTCATGTTGAGATTCTCATATTGCTTTGGCAGAGACTGAAACTTCACCTTCTTTACTGACGCGTCACCACCATAACATCTGACCAGTATATCTCATGCCTCTTTTGACGTCGTTGAATCAGCAATCTTCTCAAACACACTTTCATCCACACACTTATGGATATAGAATAGAGCTTTCTGATCCCTTTTCCTCGTAGCTCTTTCTGCAGATCTTTGTTCTTCAGTAGCATCTGCTACAACTGGAACATAACCATTGATAACAAGATCCAGAACATCCTGAGCACCAAACAGCACACGCATCTGTATCATCCATCTGTTCCAGTTTTTGTCATCAAAAACTGGAGGTTTAGTGTTCAAACTACTGCCTCCACTCATCTTAAACATTGCACAAATCTCAGATTCTCACTCAGTGTTTCCCAAACTCACATAATCAGTGTGATTCTGTTTAGATTTTTGTTCAAGATTCAACAGAAATCAGGAACCAAAAATCAAACACGCAACTCACTATCACTCGTGTTTCCCAGAATTTCAAAACAAACCAAGAGCTCTAAATACTAATTTGTTGGTGCAAGGTGATGAAATTAAAGAAGAAGAGAGAAAAATGACAAATGCTAAAAGCTGCTACTAATGATTGACAAAAGGAATTGTTGTATTTAATAAAATATAATACACCTATTTATACAAAAATAATAATAAAGATAAGAATGTCACATATGCCCTAAATGAGAATATCTAAAAATAACAAATACTAAATTACCTTCTAATAAACCACACCATGACTTTGACAAAAACTACACACTCTGCACACATGTTTGGATAAACGGTGGGTATGCCAAAATCACAAAGCCTTCATGACCATGAAATTAGAGTTTCTAAAATGTTCATTTCACTTTAAAAAGAGGGGTGCTCTTTCCATCCTTAGTCACCACACCTTTAGAAACCCTAAAATGTTCCTAGCATCCCAAGATGATCTCCGGATGCACTTCCATAAACATGCCTTATCACTTGTAAGAAAAGTCATTTCAATGAATTTCTTTCTCCTTTCTGAATTCCCTCTTTAGCAATTGTAATTCTCTTTTCTATTTTTACTTTCTTCCTTCCTAATATTTCATAAAGACAATACGATTTTCATTTCACTGTTAAAATACAATACAAAGTTCCTTCTATGCTCAAAGGAAAAATCAAATCTTAATCTAGAATATATAAATTCTTAATTGTAGGCTATGTATATTCTATTCATTGATTACCCGATAATTCTTATGATATTTGTATTCTTGATTGTTGTTGATGTTTATGATACACACATTATAAGGCTATGTAAATTCTGGGAATGTATCTTCAAACTAATTTTTTTGCATTTTGCAAAAATAAGGGTGATTCATCAATTTACGAAAGAGTGTGTAAAAAAAATACGTTTGGAAATGCATTTCTAGACATTAGAGGCATTTGTGAGATTTCACGATGGTGTAGAAGAACAAATAAGTCTGGAAAGAGTAATCCCCTTAAAAAATAGAGCCTTCTCAAATTCTTTTTAATAAAAACTAAAGTTACAGAGAGAAAGAAGAAAAAAATCAAGGCCCAACATAGCCCACATCAGCAAGAATCAAAAGGGAAAGATTTTCTCCTATCCGAACACCCTCAGAATTATGCAACACACGTCTAGCAAGAGAACGGGAAAAACTATTACCCTTTCCCTTAATGTTCCTAAATTCCAGCATTCGAGTCTACATGCAAGTTGTTACAACACCTAGTTTTCATGTTCACCTAAATTACCATAACAATAACATTAATATAAAAAATAACTTGAATACAGTACAGCTACTCCAACTACTCCAAGTTCCTAGCCTGAAAAATTATGAAGAAAGGTCAAAGGACATAAATCTCAATATACTGGCCGTCGATTGATGAAAATTATCATCTAAACTATAAAACGAAAAGATTATTAAAAATACAAACAATATTGGTATATGTAACAAAACTATGTCTGGAATTGCTCCTAGGAAATCGTCAATGGTATCTTACAGACATTCGAGCAGATTAGGATCACATGGATAATAATACTCTTTCTCAAAAGTCTCAACGTTGTTTCCATTGCTAGGACTTGGATTCCAGTCCAAGGCCATCATTGATTAGCAATGCCTAACCATTTTGCTATCAGAAGGGAATTTTTTTTTTTTTTTGCTAACAGAGCTAATAGAGCTAGATAAATTCGGGTGTTCAGCATTTAAAGAGCATAAATATACCTATTTTGGAAGAACTTCTTTGTGTGCTTTAAATGAGAGAATAACATTCCACACCAAAGCAACAACATTAGCAGCAAGGACCTGAAATTATTTACATGTATTTTAAATTTAGTAACATTTAAAAAATAGAGGCAAATAGTAGAATGTGTTAACGAAAACCATATATAATAAGGTCAATGAATACAAACATGCAAGTTAGAACAAATCATAACCATAGATACCTCCATTTAAGGCATTTGAGAGCTTCTCGGTGAATTTTCAAGATCGTGAACGAATTATCTAAGTCCGGCTGAAGTATAAATGTGTTTGCATGTTTGGTTTGAGTTTAAAAAAAAAAACAGTGAACTGAGAACCCCTGTGATGCCCCATACCACTTGGAAATGACAAGTGGTCATTTTAATTTTGGGTGCAGAGTAAATGTATATAGTCAATATAGAAAACATGCAAAGTAAATTGCAAGCAAGCATGACCATGACCATGGATCAATTTCATGGATCTGAAATTTTCTCAACGAAACTTTCAACTTTCAGGAACAGTTATCAGAACCGTCCCAAAGTATAAGTGAATGTGCTTATTAAATTTATATATAAAAAAACAACACAATTAACTGAGAACCCTTATGAGGATGCCCCGCATGGCATCACCCACATAGAAAATGACAAGTGGTCAGTCAATTTCATGTTCTAATATTTGAAAAGCAAACAGTTGCATCCCAAATATCGAAGTATGATATGAGTGTATGATGCAAGATGAAAATCAACAGATAATGCATATGGTCAAGTCAAATTTCAAATTTTTCATATACAGTCCTGTCTGTCAGTCTAACCTGAAATTGTTGTGGAACAAATCTAAAGTTGAGAAATTGAAAAGGTATCCATAATTGCCAGTTTGCTATAACAGCAGAAACCCACTCCTACAAAATGAAATTTGGGGATGAGTAAGCACTACTACTAAACATGACAGCAACGAAACACTATTATGATTATAATATTTTACAAGCAGATACAAGTCAAATAAAGCTGTTAATGCTACCTGTTTAAGCTTAGGTACAGCTTGTGATGGCCTTCCCTCTAGCGTCACCAATGTAGATAAGAAAACTCCAATAAATATGGGAGAAAATAAGAACTGCAATCATATTCCGTCCCTCAAAATTTAGAATATCATACAGGGATACAACTAATGATTGACATAAAGTGACAGTAACTCACCTGATCAATCACAAGCCGCAAAAGTGCACCTGATGTTCCAGGAAGTGTAACCAATTTGCTCAGATACAAGTACCTATAAATTCAAATCAAACCTGTTACACAACTGCACTTATTGGATTCTAATAATATAATTTGGAGGAAGAATGAATATTTGCAAGTTGCAATGTTATTGCAACAAAAGAACAGCACAGGGATTATAACTTATTGTACATCCCGGTCTCTCCCCTAAAGCATCTCGCCCTTACAGGCCTCATGCTTGAGGGACCGTACATTCCAGTACTTCACCTAAAAGAATCCAGACCAGACCCGAACCCGGACATGACATAACCCACCCCACCCTGATCCATTCCCAAGAATAGACTACGCCAGAACACTCTTAATATGGGTCAGGTCAAGGAGGCCAGCCCAGGACCGAATACAACTCACTCCTGGTAATTATCCATAGACAGAACGTTTTAAGTCATCGAATAGCCTTAAAAGGCCGACCTCAGACAAGGGAACAGAGGACTTAAACTCCCTTTATTGCTTACAGCTAGGCAAGCTGGCATGTAACATAATGACAATTAAATCAACATAAAAAAACTCAGGGCAGGGCAGAGAAGGCTATATAAAAACCAGTAATCACCAAGCATAAAGCACATACTTTTTTCATACGAAAAACACAGAGATATACGTTCAGACTCTGACTGACCTACCACGAGTTATCAAATAGTGTATCCAGCTTGTACAGTTATAACAAAACTGCATTTATTATTATAGCCAATAGTATTTCTTTATACTATTTAAAACTTAATCACAAATCAATAGACTCTAAGCACGGGTAACTTTCAAAAATGCCGATGCAGATTCTAGGATATTACCAGAAATGCAGTGTTGGACCAACTAACACGATACCAAGCAGTGTAAAGAGAAATGTCCTCTTCCAGTCCGGTGTCTCCACTTTATCTATCACAAGCTGCGGAAAGTAAAAATAGTAAACTTAAAAACTTCATATAAGCAAAGACATTAAGTAGTTAAAAAATCAAATTAAATTTTGGCATAAAGATGGATTCACTGAAACAATTCAAATGCTATGATATAACAAGCTTGATAGCAAGATGAAAGAGAAGAGAAAATCAATACCTGGCAAATCAAATCTCCAATTAGTGTCAAAACTGCAGATGTTAAGGCCTTAACAGGAACAGGATACTTTGCAAGAAGAGCCAAGTACCTGAAGTAAAGTCATGTTTATTACTATATTCTATGATGAATTTTATTTAACAATGTAGTTAAACTAAAGAGCGTATGATAAACTATTTTACCATGACAAGAAGGACCATTTTCCCTCTTCGTCCTCAGATTCGTTTCCACCGGAATTCCAGCCACCAGATCCGCCATTTCCGGGAGTTCCACCAGATCCGCCGGAACCGTCGTCGGAGAGGGCGGAGAGGCGAGGATGACGGAGGCGCAGGTGAGTGAAGAGAGGTGGAGAGCGGTAAGAGAGTGGTTGAAAGTGAAGGGGAGTAGGTTGAGGGAAAACGGTTACGGCGGGGGGTGACAAAAAGGGGTTATGGGTTGGTGCACAACATGGACTGGACATCATTTTCGGTTTCTGAGAGCACCCATATTAGTGGTGGCATTATATTGCAAAGCCACGCTGTGTTACAAAATAAATAATAGTAGTAATATTTAAATTCAATTCATCTAGTATTACTAACCCACGCGGAAAGCGTGTTTTTGGGTATTAATGTCCCTGTATGTATAAATTAATTTTAAAATTGAGGGAGTAAACTAAAAATTGATTTGGTTAATATTCGTTTCTAATTGTTTGACATCCTAAAAATATTTTAGATTTTATATTTTTTTTCTTTTTAATAATTAGGACAAAAAAATTATTTTTAATAAATTGGTGATACAGACTCTGATTACTTGTTATTTAATAAATTAATCTCTATTATGTTTAATAAAATTGCTAATACGAAAAACCAATCTCTTATAATTGTAATACGAAACATTAGAAATATTTTATTAGAGTTTGACGTGGGAGTTCTTTAGAAGCCTTGTCTTTCTCTTTCATTGTAATCTTAGCAGCAGTCAAATGCCAATGTGTCCACGATAAAATTTATTTTATAGAGGACAATTATATTCAAAGAGTAATTATTTTATAAAAAACAATTCTACTCACGTGTACATTAAAATATATATATATATATATATATATATATATATATATATATATATATATATATATATATATATATATATATATATATATATATATATATATATATATATATATATATCTTTTTTGTCTGAATATAACTCGTGTCCCAAATTTATATTTAATAGTGTTCAAGAAAAATAGGGAGCTTTCAAATGAATGAATTTTAAACTGACTGCCCAAAAAAATTTTAAAATGGAAGTAAAATAAGGTTTTATATTCAAATGGGGAATATCACTGTCCTTGTTATTGTATTTCTTCGTAACATTATATTCACACATATAAAATATATAAAAAGTGTTTAAGAGCATATAAAATTTATTTTCTAGATCAAATTTTTAACTTTTTAAATTTGGTTAAAATAGTTTATTTAAGAAATTAGAAGTTTACATGGAGATGTATCAAAAGCAATATATGGTATTAACCACAAGATGTAACTTCATGGAGAGCTTATATGATCAAGCGATTATACTATAAGAGCTTAATTATAGAAATAACTTGTATACCAACACTTGTATGATCAAGCGATTATACTATAAGAGCTTAATTAAATTGCTTACACAAACAGGCATTAATCTATCTATATCTATATCCTAAACATTTGAAGACAATGATTCAATTTAATTGCATCAAATAACTAAGAAGTTCAAAACATTATCCATAGAAAGCCGTGTGAGTATATGTTTTGAGAACACTATACAAATAATCATTACTACGAGCAAAACACGGTCCCAGTGTGATAGAATCATGTAAATTGCAGAGATTGAAATTATTTGGTCTGAATTTTGTTTGTAATGAACGATTTCTCAAGATCATATTAATATATAACATCGAATAAGAATAGACGTTGGAGATTGAATAGTTCTTCAGTACCGTACTATATATATATATATATATATATATATATATATATATATATATATATATATATATATATATATATATATATATATATATAAGTAGATAAAATATTATTTTTAGTCTTTTAACTTTATTTTTGGGTCTATTATGATCTCTTATCTCTAAAAAGTTTCAAAGTGGTCTTTTAATTGTTCAAAAAGGATCACGTTTATCATTTTCGTCTGGACCGTTAGTCAAAGTCAATTGTAGAGCTTATGTGGCATATATGTGGCATTGCACGTGTATACATTTTCGTCCAGGTAGAATAAAGTATTTTAAAAAAATGGTTATAGCATTGCATGTGTTAAAGGATCAAATTACATCTCCAACGTTTAGAAGGTAATTCTTGGGCAACCATTGTTGGTAGCTCTAATCTGCGAACAAGTTGCGAGCGAAGCGAAGGCACAATCCGACCACAACATTACAATCGAAGCGAAGCGAAGGTAAAATCGACCACAACACTGCTCATCGTAGGTAAGTTTCTGCAAAACTATGATTTTCGTAGTTAGGATTTTTTGAAATCAATGTTTCTGAAATCAAATATCTTCCTGTTCATTTAGGACCTAGTCTGAAATGGATGAATATCTCAACATTACAATACACCACAGTGGTCAATTTATTACTGAGGACATTAGTGTTTACGAAGGAGGTGAGATTGCTGATTTGAGAGTAGATGTTGATAAGTGGAGCTATTTTGAATTGATAGGTGCTATTAAAGAGCTAGGTTATGCAGATGTAGAGAATATATATTACAGGGATCCTACTGCTGGGGTGAATATGTTGGTTGATGACAAGAGGGCATTAGAGATTGCTCATCTATATAGGATTCATCTTAGTGTTGAAGTCTTTATTCAACACACGTTATCAAAGCATGATTATGCTGATGAGACAGAAGTTGTGTTAGATGAGGTACCCCTTAATGTGATAGTTGATGAGGTAGTAGTTGCACTTGAAGAGATGTTGAATGAAACTGATGTAAGGGAAGATGGTGTTAGAGTAAGTGATGTTAGGGAAGATGATGTTAGCATGGATGGTGTTGGGGAAGATGATATTAGGGAAGATGGTGTTCATGCAGTAGGAACTAATGATAATGTGCCAATGGTTGATGTGGTTGATGAGGTTGAAAGTGATGATATTGGACATAGGACTGGTGAGGTTGATGATGTTGTTAGACTGATTAATGATGATGATAGTTCTGATGATATCACCTTCAACTATGATAGTGCAATAAAGGTAGTATTTGATGATGACTACGATGAGTATGACACTGATTTGGAAGAGGAAGAGGGTAACCTAATTAACTATGAACACATGGAAAGCAAAAAAAGATAAAGAAAAGTGTGAAGCAAACAAAGAAGATAGCAAAGGAAGTGATAATGAAAGTGATGATCTAGGAAGTGACTGTAATAGTGATGATAGCAGTAGAATTAGGAGAAAGAAGTATCCAGGTTTCAAGCTTCAAAAGGATATGGGTAATTACAAATGAGAAGTGGGAACCTACTTTAGTACAGCAGAAACTTTCAAGGAAGCCATTACTTCTTATGCAGTCCAATCTGGCAGAAATTTAAAGTTCATTAAAAATGACAAGAGCAGGATTAGGGTTAGGTGTAAGGAAGGATGTGAATGGGAATCCTATTGTGCTAAATTGTCTATTGAGGATTCTTGGCAACTAAGAAAGGTAGTAGAAAATCATAGTTGCAGTAGAGAATATAATGTGAAGTTAATGAAGACCAAATGGTTGAGCAAGAGGTTGCAGAATTCACTTAAAACCAACCCTAGAATGAAAATTAAGGACATTAAGGAGAAGGTACAGAAGAAGTGGAATGTGGGGGTCAATAAAACCAAGGCCATAAGGGCTAGATTTGCAGCCAGAGACATGATCGATGGGTCGTTCCTAGGGCATTATGCAAGGATATATGACTATGCACATGAGTTATTAAGAGCTAACCCAGGGTCAACTGTAAAAGTGAATGTCGAACCTGCACAAGAAGGTGGTGTTCGGAAATTACATTTCAAAAGGATATACATATGCTTGGCAGCTTGTAAGGAAAGCTTTAAGTTAAGTAGACATTCCATTGGACTTGATGGATGTTTTTTGAAAGGCCTTTGTGAGAGTCAAATACTTGCAGCCATAGGCAGAGATCCCAATGAACAAATGCTACCTATAGCATATGCAGTGGTGGAGAGTGAGAATAAGGATAGCTGGACATGGTTCTTAGAGCTGCTTATTGATGATCTTAGTGGAAGAGAAGAGCGCCTCACATACACTTTTATCTCTGATCAACAAAAGGTATGGTTCTGTTTTTAATTTTTTATTGATAGGTATTTCATGTTACAAATTCTCATGTTACATTTTTGATGACTTAGGGATTATTTCCTACAATGGAAGAACTGCTACCTAGAGTTGAACAACAGTTCTGTGTTAGGCATCTCTACAATAACTTCAGGAAGAGGTATCCATGAAAAAAACTAAAAGAAATAATATGAAAAGCTGCCAAGTCAACTTACTACCATGCTTGGAAAGAGAGATGAAAGTAATGAAAGATCTCAATGGAGAAGCATAATGTGGTACGGTGGGAGAACTGACTTGGGTTTTGCGTTTGTTTTTGCAAATGTTTCGGTTGAGCAAGAGTCGCCACCGAATTTTTATTTTATCCTAAAGGAAAGGTTAAAAAGCACAGGAAAAACCTTTGAGATGTTTTCGTGGGTTCGGGGGGTAGATTATGAAAAGGGAAGGTGCTAGCACCCTTTTCATCCATGGTTATCCATGGGCTCTTAGTTACTTGTTTTAGATCACTTGCCTTGATTTTCAATTGCTTGAAATGGTGTTTATGTGTGTGTGGTTTTGAAAAAAGAGGCCTTGTCTAGGCAACCATTGTAATGACTCTTGTTTGAGTATATGCAAAGGTGTTCGTCTTTTTGAAAAGATATTTCAATGTTTTTTGAAAGTTGTTTTTGAAAGTTGTGTAGTGATGTGTGTTTTTGAAAGTAGGCAAGTGTGTTTTGCAAGTTTGATCAAGTAACTAAGAGTTGTCTACCCTATTGTACTCAAAGATCTTTCTTATACTTTTTAACCCTTTTAACAGTATTGTTCCACCATTGTATTTGGTGGACAATCTTGTGTTAGGATGTTAACGGGACGGGCACGGGTCATCATTTAGACCATGAATGCAATAGTGTCAAGTGTCTTTGGCAATTTTCTTGAGGGACTATGATCATTTCGTTTAGGCAACTTCGAAAGCGTCATCGAGGGACTATGATCATTTGATTTGTTTTTGTTTTGCCAAAGAAACTCAACATACAACATGGCCCATTTTTGAAGGCAACAAGTGGAGGAACCCTAGGGGGTGCAAGTGTGCATAGTGTTGTCAATTTTCATGCTTTTATCTTGTGTTAGGTTATCTAGCGGTTGATTTTGAATCTTCGCAAACAAACCCTAATTACTATACAGTATATAGAAAGCGATAAATTGCGGGAATTTA